ATAACTCTGATATAAACTCTATCGTCTATCACATAGGCTCCCTGATCCAGGAATGAAAGAACCTAAATGAATGAAGCATTGAAAATTAATGTCTTTCATGAAAACCATCCTTGTCGTATTGGGATGTTGACATTTCCTTCAACGTGCTCTTTCGAGATCCACTAGTCTTCACTTGTCATCTATGGGGTTTACGACAACCAAACGGCAACGATGTAGCAGCTCTTTAACGGATTCATCCTCCCTAGTAGAATCAGGCTCTATGCATTTTCCTTGTTTGTAACAAACATGTACCGATACGTAGTGATGTTTCTGTACTTTTGTTGAGTGAATATAAGGTAATGCATATAGCTTTTTTCCAAAAACACTGACGTTTTGGCGAATTTCATTTCTTTCAGAGCTTAAATGGGTTAGATTGTGATAAACCTATTTACTAGAATACCTCGTTCCAGTTTGTGAGGAATAACCGTCGAAAACACGAACAATAGAGAGACAGTTAAAAGGAAGTCTTAGTTATCCGTTTCAGCATATTGATTATGGAGGCGGCTAATGCAGTGACAGTGATGCTGTTCATTACGAGCAAGGCGCTTGTTCAACCTGTTACCAGCCCAACAAGCCTCTTATTCCCCCAAGTTCGGTAAATAGATACCACACCATACTTGTCTAGGCCGAGCTCGCTTACCCCAATCTATGTGGGAACCCTCTAGCACGGCCACTACAGGATTTCAGGTAGAAGCGACACGGCCAGCAAGTATTCAACGACATTCACAGCGAAGACAAAAGCCCTTAAGAAGAAGGTTCACCCATTGCTAACTCAATGTTCAAAGACCTTCGTGGACTACGGATGCAAGGAGGCAAATCGAAAAGAAGCAAATGACGCGACCCGCACAAGTGATGCTAGGTTGTGTAGAAAAACTTGTAGACAGGAATTGAAGGACAAAACACTGACGAAAATGTTTACACCACCAGCTTCTAAAAGTCAACAAAATAGATCTGTAGAGATGTCTTTATAAAGTGGCAGCGAGTTTAACAGAAGATTTTACAAGTATGCAGGTGTACCGCGTTTTCGACAGATGAAGAAGGCTCTTACCAGAAAGAAACCTATGGAATCACAGCGGCTATTCCCATTGCAAACTTCCCTTTGAGCTCTAGAGTGGTAAATTTTTCATGCGTACAGGGTGTAGAATTATAATAGCTGAGCGCAGTTAGTGGATGGTTCAAGAACAGAGCGTCATGCCTCAGAAGACATCGTCATTGCTAAGGTCACTTCCACCAATTTCACATAGTCCTCGATATTGTAGGTTTTTCAATAAAAAATTAGTACTCACGTTGTTTTTTGGTAAAATGGTAGGCAAATCCGGGAAATGCGACGAGACATTGGAGTAATGCCATTAGAGGAAGAAAGCCAACCGGTTGATTGATGGACAAACCAACTGAAATTGAACAGTTCTTATCTGGAAAGCGTGTACGGTGAAATAACCAAAAGTGACTAACCAACTGCAAAAATAGCTAATGCAAGGGCGAATCCGAACTGTATCAAAATTATCACCTGCACTACACTTAAATGGCTGGACCTAGGAAGGTTTTTTTAATGAACACAACACCTGTGATAAGACCTCTTGTGTTGAGCTGTTCACTTACCCATTCCTTTCGGTGCGAGACGCCGAACTTGCAAGGTCTCCCAACTCTCCACCGGAGAAGCTAAAACGATTCAGAATGAACTAAATCGCTTTCTGATTCTAATTACATGTCAGATACTTCTTTCTTATTAACAGCCTTATTCCATGGAAAGATTTGCCATCAAAGTCACATCATTAAGTCACATCTTTACTATAAAGTAAATCTTATGGTATTTGTTGTGGTAACTTTTGAAGGCTATTTTTAAATTCGCTTCGTGTTAGGTATGGCAAAGTAAAATAACTTACGCCTTGCTAGGCCAACCGCTCGTGAAGTCGTACAGCTCGTTTTATGTTCACACCATCATTGTTTACTTTTCATATATCACAATGTTAAAACAGTCATTTTTTCACGGGTAAATACCAAATATAACAGCAACCGTACTTGAGAGCAACGAAAAGGGACCACAAAGTTACATGAGAAGAACTTGATGAAAGCCCATAAGTTTTCTACGGTCGTAGTAGTGATAGCATAAAAGTCCAAAGATGTTAGAATTGAGAGTATTCCCACAAATCCTGTTATTGGCAACTTCATAATTGCTCTCAGGTATAAAACCCCGAATTATAGGATAATGAGAAAGTTCTTAGAAAGTCGGTTTTAAAAATAGCTACATGATGTACCAACAGAATTTCTACACATTTTTATGTGGCCCGTTATCGCAGCTACTGCGCGGAATCCAGCACTTCTTGCAATCGTTTCGTTTCCCTAGCAATCATTGTCCACAGAGGACTTCAAAAATTTCGGGTGTTGTTTTGGCAGCTGCTTGAGGATATTATCTTCTTTTTATGAATGTCGTAGATTGGTCGAGCCTACACTCCCTGAAATTTTGGAGGTAGGCTAAGGTGTTCCTAAGTGGATTGGAGAGAGCATTGGAGAAAGGGGGAGGTCGAAGTAGCGCCTTTGCTTCCACATCGACGGCGTCTGTAACCGTTCTTCCACAAACAGAAAATTCTATAATCTGCTAAACAATTTATATAAATGAGCGTCATTAAAGCAAAGAAACACTGTATCAGCAAGCCTCAAGATGTTTAATAAGATGCCAGAGAGGTCAAAATTCGCCGCGTTAGGATGCATGACACTCGCCTACTGCACCTATTAGAAATGGGTCCAAGTTTGACGTCGTGGTTTATCCTTCTTGCTCGCATGAGCAAGTCTTCTACAGAGGACTTGGATGCAAGTGTACGTGCATAGTAGGTACAGATCGTCATCATTGTTCTTCGTGATCCAGGCAGCATCCATTGGTCCTGAGATTTTGTCAGCCTCTCCATAGTCGTCCTTCTCAACGCTGCGAAATTGGGGGCTCTTTCAGGTTCAGGGGAATGAGGCCCGTTTTTTTTTAAACTGTGTTTAGCATTTTTGATATCCACATATAGCTTTCTGAGCTCTGAGCGAGGGGACTGGGTATACTCACGGATAGCTTGCCAGGCTCTCCCCCAGAGTGGGCATGGAGCTTATTTGCTGTTGGGAACTCCTAACCACCTCCCATATACTTCCCAGTCACTTGTTTGCAAGCTTTTGGCCGAATTGGCTCGTAGAATACAATCTGTATAGGCAGGAACGCGCCTACACACGTACGCATGAATACGCCTAGCAAATACAGAAAGTATGTGCCAAATCGGGGCAGCAGAAACAGGAGATCCATCTCCTCGATCCATCTGTGTCTCAGGGAAGCAGAGGTGGCTTTTGGTCCGCGATTAACCCGCTATCGGCCACCTGGGGACGCTCCGCGTAGCCTCACGACTAACCGGGTCAAGATCCCTCATATAAGGGAGGACCGTGGGAACAAAGCTCGTAAGTTATGCAAAAATAAGGATATAGCTCTCTACGTTGATCAATGCCTAAAGTATAGACCATGTACTCGATTTCATCGAGCCATCGCTAGAGGTGATTGAATGCATATCTGGCTTATACAATAACTCGCGGTCGCCTACCGATGTATCGAGTCATTGCTGCTATCCTTTTGAACAGGTTCTGTACGAATTTTCCGAGCCAAGAGGGCTGAAGGGCTTTCTAGGCCGGGACGCGGTATCGATCTCATATGTATTGCAAGGCGCCTCTAACCACTGCACTACACACACCTCTGCAACTTGCATTAATGTCCACTAATAATCTTATGTCTACTGACGTATTAACATTCAGGATTAGACCCATCAACAGCTGTGTAGGCAGATCAACGAATAAAATAGCTTGGTTTATAAATCTAATACTCAACCAGTTGCTGAAGCATTTTCCAGGCCACCTCACGAATACTCAAATCTTTCTTGACCATCTAGATAACGCGCGTTCTAACAGCACTTAAGATATGGAGCTCTTTGACGTTTCCCTACCTTACAATAAAGTGTAGAATGACGCCCAAATACAAGTCACCGGCTAGGTCCTTATGCAACACGAAACAGCAACAGACATGCATCACTTCAAAATCCAGCAGCCTGTGGCCCTCTTAAGGCACTGTTCAAACTGTTTAGCTCTTACTCTAATGTTCATTCTAATGAGTTTTGTTATCGTGTGGATTTGATCCATCGTGCTGAACATTTTACTACGTCAGATAGTTCCTTTTGTTTTCCGCTTTTCTGTACTTATGTTAACGAATAACATAGCTCAACGATCCGTACTCGCGATAAGAAGCAAAATAATTTGTCTATTTCTACGAGTCCTCCCAACGGTTTACCGCCTCATCGTGGGCGGGAGGCATTCCTGGGTGTCGGACTGCGCTGTACAGGAGGATTCATCATCCAGCAGGGTCTCCTAAGCTGAGGAGTCTGACGTTTCCATCAGGGAGACCAGCGAAGAGTAAACCAATACGAGAACTCACCAGCATCCTGGTATCAAACTATTCGTAGGGTGGTAAATCTCCCTCTGTTCCACAAGGGCAGCGGCTGCATGTGGTGGTGATAATCTGGGGCAGAGTTTGGCTAGGTTGACCTCGGGACCCAAGGGAACCACAATGGCTAAACCAGCAAAACTCCGACAAAATGGAGATTATACTGGAGCCCACAAAACCAGTGAGGACGGGCCAACGAAGTATCTAGATATTTCTACGTGTTTTCCACAATGAAGCGTCTGTTCTCTGGTTTTGCGAGCAATGTGTGCATCTACGGAGAGCGCACCGTGCAATACGCATCATTGCGTAGAACCAGTTGCTCAACTTGAGGGAAGTGCATTACAACTCTTGGTGTTCTAGCTTTTTTAAAGTATTTGTTATCCCAACTAGTTTTCTATCGAGGACTGTAAGCATTTCGTGGCGTAAATTTCCGAGGAAGGTGGCCTTTCAGACATCTCCGTGGAAATTTTCCCGACCGAGTGAGCGAACTGTTCCTGAAAATTTCATGGATCTGTTAGAAAATACTGAGGGTGATACAGTGCATAGTGATGCCGAGTGTGGTAGTGAGGTGAGTGGATTTTGCTGTGCTGAACGCAGAGCTTTGTACTTGGTGACCGATCACTGTTAGTTACCAGTTTTCACTCACTACTAAGAAATCTGTTATAATCAGTGTTTGCTGGGATGTATTCATTGTCTCGATCAGTTGGGTAAGTCCGACGTGACAATAGTGACGTCGATCTGTTTGCCAAATTGCTTCTGATTGTGGATTCCTAATAACCAGCGTATTCATTTAGGAGTTTGAGCTGATCTTCACCGACAATAATGGAGGTTTTGCTTCCAGAAGAGGTAGGCAAAGTGTGACTTGGGGGCCAGTCTTCATTAAAGAAAGTGTTCGTGAAGTATTACACTAGTGGGCCACTGTGAAATGCCTGACCTACCTGTTTCATAACCATGGGAGTTTTCCGTTATATTTGTTGTTTCTGTTGTTGTTGTTGTTGTTGTTGTCGTTATCATTGTTGGCTGATGGCTGACGTTTCGACGATTCGTCTTTCTGAGATGATGTTACGAATCGGTCTCATTTTGCTGGAAGGATGGAAGTCCCACTCGCAACACCACGGCTCTGGGTAAGGCGAGTCGCCGAAACGTCAGCCATCGATCAACAAAGATAACAACAACAACTTGTTCCAACCTCCCATCAGCTCAACAAGATTAATTCATAAGGACATATGTCATTATACGTTCTTCATTATCATTTAGCACTTGAGCAGTTTAAAAGCAAAAATCGCCAGTATGGAAATGCCGTTTGTCCAGAGTGTAAGCAGTCCTTTGTTAATGCGGCAAGGCTTGAACGACACTTAGCAGTCCATCAGGTTAACTATCTGTTTTTTTCCTTCTTTGCTTAATTTTTGGTGTTAAAAGTAACGTTTAGGTATTCGGTGCATACCTTTGTCCACTATGTGGAAAAACTTATAAATACGAATACAATTTGTTTTTTCATTGGCGTAAGACATGTCAGTACCTTAACGAGTTGATTGAAGTGGAACAGAGAAAGGTGTGCTAAGGATTTTTCAGTTCAAAACCGTAGAACATTTAGTTAGCCATTAGGAATTTCCTTCTGGTCATATTTAGTTTATGCGAGTTTTTTTTTGCAATTTTCTTTGTTCGTATGCTTTTTTCATTTTGAGGAAATGGATGTCAACTCTCTTCGTCTCCTTGTAGAAGAAGTGGTATTGAAAAGAAACGAGACTGAACCCGTTGATATTGGAATATCGGAAAAAGCACTTTTTCACGGAAAGCCGACATCCATGCTGGAAATGCCGATCGATCCACAGAGTAGTTTTTAGATTTCATCAAGTTCCTTTGTCGAAAAGACTTTCAGGTTCAATCGAAAATAGATCATCTTTCTATTTTCTTATATTCCTTCATACTTTTTTTCGTTCTTTTTGTTGTTTCCTTGTTCTTCCTGTTGTCAGGGTTATCGTGTGGAGCAGGAAGATGCGGATTTTCCTTCTGTTACGTCATGTTCTGCAGAAATCGAAATGTGAAAATAGTGTTCAGAATCGAAATGTGCAAATTGTGGAGTTATTCATTGAATTCAATGCCTACGTGGGGCTTATTGGAAACTATAAGTGACATCAGTGCATTTCATTTCTAGCTTCTTATCCTATTTCATCTAAGGGCGCGTGTAGCACGGCAGTCAGAGGTGCCCTGCAATACGCATTGGATCGATCCTCCCTACCCAGGCGCACCAATCCTTCCACTCTCCCGGTTCGGCAAATTGGTACCAGAATTGTCTGGGTGGATAGCAGCACTGGCTCGAAGTAGGCCACCGCCAGTCACTGTAAAAGCCAGATATGCATTCAATAACTTCTAGCAATTCTTAATGAAGTCGAATGCAGTACGCATGCCACAGAGATTGATCAACGCCGAGAGCTTTATCCTCTTTATCCTTTCTTTTGATCTTATTAGTGAACGCGTTTTTTGCGGTACTTTTCATTGTACTGATGACTTCTCTACAACAGGTATGTTATACATGGTTAGTAAATACCCTGCATCATAGGTTTTCCCACCTTTTACGGAGCCTTCCTGATTTGAGCATGGATTCAGCTGCTTCCTGAGGATTTTGTCCTTATAAATATTGATTAATCGAGTCCATTTTCTTTAGAATCAGACAATCCTGGAATACCCGCGCTTAGGAATTCCCACGCCCTCAAGGCAGCCATCAGCCTTTGTGGGTCGGAAGGAACATTCCGATACGTTTGCCACTAATTCTGGACTCGGGAGATAGGAGAATTGGAAGAATTAGAGAGAATCAGAATCAGAGCATTGTGTGTATTATAACGCCAGTTATTCCCACTGCCTCATTACGTTCTAGTACTGCTTCCTGCATGTCATAGCTTTCAAAATTTTTTTGGGCAAGATCGTTGATCCTGCTACAGGGATTATTGTTGACATAGAAATACTAAGGTATAATCACTGGTCAGGTAATCGCAAATGAGTAGCGTGCTAAAATGTAATGCACATTTTCTTTCGACTGCACTGATTGAGTAGTGCAGGGGCTAGCTCATGGACAGTATGAGTTGGATTTAATTCATACCGCATATGGTGGAAAATTGGTCGTAATTCTAAGTGTATTCAATGGATGATAGGGCGCCTGTACTGCAGTTGTCGGAGGAGCCCTGAAATACACATGGAATCGTTCCCTGCGCCCCAGGCCCACCATGCCCTTCCATTGCTATGGGGTCGGCGGCAAATTGGTACCATAATTGTCTGGAAGGATGACAGTACTTGCTTGATACATTGATAGACCACCGTGACTCATTGTAAAGGCAAGATATGCATTTGTTCACCTCCAACGATGCTTAGTGAAGTCGAATGCTTGGCGCATCTTTCAGGGATTGCCGAGAACTTTATCTTTTAGAGCTTTATATTCCATGGATTATTTTCCATGGTCGCGAGTGTGTTAATGAGATCTTTTTCTTTCAACTGATATGTTCTATCTTAAATGAGTTGTTTAGGCCCTCTTGCTCGTGCATGTACCATTTGTGGTATATTGGTGCACAGGAACCACCATCCTCAACATGAGGCGCTTCACAGTGCAACAACGGAGACTGGTCTACGACTGTTGGATAAGCAGTCACCAAGCGGTGGTTATTTCTGTGATCTATGCGGTGTGGCTTTTCGGTGAGATTTGGAAATTAGTTGGGTTTCTTATGAAGGGCTGTGTCTACAATTTCCTCTGCTTTGATTTTTAACTATTACGTGTATCTTGTATGTGCCTTACAAATAGAAGCAAAGTACTTGCTTGGACACATTGATGGGCCGTCTTCAATGATTTGCATTTTTCCATTTTATGATTTAATTTTCGTATTTTCCACTTTTTATTTCCATAATTAATTTTCCATTTTTTTGGAGTTTTGCTGATTTAGCCATTGCGTTTCCCTGGAATCCCGAGGTCATCCTGGCCAAATTCTGTCCGAGGTCATCGCTATCAAAGGCAATCGCCGCCCTTGTTGATTAGAGGGAGAATTGCCACCATGCCACTAGTTTGATACCAGGACGTTGGTAGATTCTGGTATTGGTTCATTCCTAGTTAGGCTTCATGGTGGGAACGCCGAACTCCTTAGCTTGGGAGATCCTGCTGGGTGATGAATCCCCAGCTGTACATTGCAACCCGAAACCCACGAACATCTTCCAGCTACGATGAGGCCGTAAACCATTGGGTAGAATAGAAACAAAATAGACCTTATAAAATCGTAACGTTTCGAAACGATAAGCTACATTATATTCTCAATAGCTTGGCAATGGTTGTTTTTCTGCTGTTTCCTTCCGGTATATTCTTAACTAAATGACTATGGTTGCTATTCCTAGTACGACAACATTAAAGGTTTTCTTCTAAAGTTATTCTTTTTCAGCAGTAAAGAAAACCTCTATTCACACTGGAGGTCTAGCTGTGTGGAGATTATGGTAAATTACCCATGCTGTTATTTTTTATGAAGTTCTAGCTTCTAAAGTTGTTTCTCAAACCGCGTTTATTTTTGTTTACAGGCGAATATTGAGCCTGGTTCGGAATTGTTTCTCAGTGATTTGGAGTTAAAAGCAATGGTGTTGGATCTGCTCTGGAGATTGAGAAGGGTAGCGCGCCAAACACCGCTACGTGCAATTCGTACAAGTTCGTTCGTATCGAACACAGTGGTTAATTTTGTCTTTAATTCTTATATTTTTAGGAAGAGAATATGTGGAAGAAATGGAGCCATTAATAAATCTTGGAACAGTGAGCTGTGCTTTTCATTTGTTTTCAGTAAAACTACAGGTGCTACCTTTTTCCTTTAGGATGGTGGTGGTGGCAGTTCTTACAGTAGTAATCGCAGAGCACCTGAGAACGGAAAAGTCCCAGTACCGTCTTCTGGTGATCCTGAAGGGAAGGTAGGCTAATGTTTCTATGGTCACCTTCAGCGGTAAGCGGTCTTTCTATGAAGGAAAATTCCTTAAATGTTTAGTGCTTGAACTTTAATCCCACTTTGTATTTAACTCAAAGAATGTTATGACTTATGTTTTCTTCTCGTTTTTCTTTGTTTTTCTGTTGAAGCTAACGACTTTAGGCCTTAGTCTTTATGGATGACTATATTAATCCTGCTGACACTGTAGTCGATGTTGACGGAGAACTGGTGAACATTGTATCTGTTGACCGAGGAAAATGGAATATACCTGAAGATGGGAAGCCACTAGAGTGTCCCGATTGCTTCAGGTTTGCTTCCAAGTTTTTTTTTTCTCAAAATTTTATGAAACTTTCACTTTTACATTTTCATGTAAACTGCAGGCAGTTTGCCAACGCCGGTCGTCTCGAGCGTCATATCTCAGGATTTCATTCCCATTATGGACCGTTTAAATGCGTATTATGTGGGCACAGGTTGGTAGTTTTTCCTTCTTTTATAACTTAATTAACGAAGGCTTGCTGTTCATGCTTCCCAACGGTTTACTGCGGATGCCGGATTGGATTATGTTAATCCTGCTCGGACTGCGGTGTACAGCGAGAGGATTTATCCCCTCGGCAGGGTCTTCCAAACGGAGAGGGAGTCCGGAGTTAACCTCGGGACTCCAGGTAACAACAGTGGCTAAGCCAGCAAATCTCCGAAAAAATAGAGGTTATGTGGGTTCTCGGACAACCAGTGAGGGTGGATCATCCAAGTATGTAGGTATTGTTCATGTGTTGAGGGTAATTGCTTCGTTTTATTAGAGCCGAATGATATGGCCTCAATCTGTACTTCCTTAAAAAGGATTGGTAGTGAGTTCTTTTCAGGTTTAAATATGAATACAACCTTCTTTTTCATTATCGTCATAGCTGTGCGTACACCAAACTGCTTGTTGGTGCTGACGTTCGGAAAGTGGTACGAGCTCGTTTAACTGTTTGCTTTCCTCTCGAGGAGAATTTTAAAACTTGACCCAACATTTCTAACAATTCACGAAGTACTGGAGTCATTTTCACACAAGTTCTTCCCATGTTTTTTGTTGTGACGTAAAAATTACGTCTTTCCAGTTGGATGCTGCGTCTTTAAGAAAGCTGGTATCACATATAAAACAATCCGATCCTCAACTCAGACCTGGGGTGGGTTTTTCTGCGAAGAGATTTTTTACTATTTCGTCCATCTTTTATCTCTTGAGAATTTTCGTATATCCAGCAGGGTTCAAAAGTAATTATGGAGACATCTTTGATATTTTCACAGTTCTTTCTTTTTTTTTTTGGAAAAACGAGCGAATAGCAGTAGACCTAGGAGATTGCGAATGCTGGTTGTAGCAGTCCGATCAGCTGTAGACGTAATGTTTTATCAGTTTTGCTTCAACAATATTTGCGTCCTATGTTGCGGAAGAGAAAGAACACTGTTACTTCTTATTGAAAACTTTCCTTTAAACTGAAGAGGTCAACAGGCGTTTACTGTACAGTGGTTAACGTTTCGGAAAAGTTCACCTTCTTCAGAGTCTTCAAAAGGTCATATTGTTGTGCAGTATATTCAATCAAGTGCTTGTATAACAAAGAATGGTCTACTCGTTTCGCCATTATATTACTGTCCGCACGTTTTACAAGGGATCAGGTACAAAAGAGCCGTGCTCATGCAATCACCACCTTTGCTGTTAGGGCAAATCATGCAATTTTGTGTTGTGCATAGACGGTCATACAGGCGGTTAGGAATCAAATAACGACATAGAATGTTCGGTGAAATCCAATCTTTGTTGCTGATTTCTCTAGACTCACCCTTTCTAATCAACGTTTTATAGCTCCTTATTTTGTTGGGAACGGGGAGCAGAACAAACGAAACCTCATTCTTGCGAGACGTATTTCTTTGGGCATTGTTTCAATGGTGTACTTGATTTAACACTCTCGCGTCGACGGCTGACTAACAGTAACACCTGTAGGTGTCACATCGGCTATTCTGACAATTTTCATGTTGCCGTACCTCTTTTTGTAGTGATTTCCGTGCTATTTATCGGTTTTTCTCTGAGTTTTGAAATGGAGTTTCTGCGCTTCTTGTATCATTCGTATGCTCCATGTTCTTTTACTCACCATTTCATTTTTATTCGTGCATGTACAACTCTTCTTTGTGAACAAAAACGCTCGCCCATGATGCAGTCGTAGTGCTATCTGCGCTTGATAGACTTGTATGGATTGTGGAAGGCTCACGTACCATCCACCACACCAACCGAGGCTCGTGCTTTGCCTTTCTCTTGGCTATGTTTAAACTCTATCTGTGTTATCTATAATCAACCATTACCAGACATGATCCAGAAAGTAGAATTCGGCATTGAACATAGTTAAGCTGAAGCTGTAGTCGAAATCCCACTGTTTGACTTTTTTATTCACTACCCATTCATGGCAGGGTACGATGCAAAATACCACCACAAGGGTGCCGAGGCATAGGCAAAACCCAGAATCTCAAGTGGGTTTCGAACCTGTTATTATTGTTTCGGGGGTGAGAGCTCATGTGCTACCTACAACACCAATCGAACCCCTTGAAGAAGGAATATCCACCAAAAAAGTTAAGCATTATGATCTCGAGTGTATGTTTAGGTTTACTAGGTTCATTGCCGATATTAATTCCAGTGTTCACGATTAATCAATATAAAGCGACGTCCTTCGTTGAGAGCTGTTCCAAGAAACATTCGCTGCTTTAATGCTAACGCTGCGAAAGGCAAGCTGAAACATCGTTTAAACGAGGGAACGAAGTGTCCGGTTTGTGGTAAGGTTTCAAAACTGAGTTCTCGAGTGCTGTCATGTTTTGTAAATCTTCGAGGTTGTTTTTGGTGTCCGTATGAATTTCGTTTTCACATTTGTGCCTTATAATTTATTTATTCCTTGTTTATCTATTTATATTATTTTGGTTGTTTTTATTTATTTCGTCTTTTCTAGGGGTTATGTTTTACGGTCAGAAATCACTCGATAAACATATTGGGACCGTTCACCTACTAAATTATGACTTTCTTGATAAAGCTATAACCCGCGAAAGCTCATGTAAGTTTCCTTCTGTTTTATTCGCCTCATGGTTGCAACGTTAGTATTTGTCATGTTTTTTCTTCTATAAAACATGAGAAGTTTTTATCCCAGTCTTTGTCGATAGGTTGTATAGATGTTGTGACTTGAACAAATACCAATGATAGTATCTGGTTTAGCAAAAACTGGTTCGTTTCTTACAAAGAATAAAGCATAAAGCTATCGGCGTTGATCAACTGAGATCACTGAGAGGTGCGCCATGCATTCAACTTCGTCAAGCATCGTTAAAGGTGGTTGAATGCCGGTTGCCTGCCGATGTGTAAAGTCAGTGCTTCTATCCTTTCTGATAGGTCTGGTACCAATTTGTCGACCTAGAGAAATGGAACGCTGGGTGAGCCTAAGGCGCGAGATCGAACTCATGTGTAGGTTGCCTTTAACTACTGCGCTATACAAGTCCTCTTGCAGAGATAGTTGCGAAATATCTAGGTATATAGGCCATGCGTTGTACAGATTGAGTGTGGCACAGTATTTAAATATTCCTTGCGACGCACATGGTCATCGGCAATTTGGCACCGAACCCGAACTGTCCAGGCCGCACAACATTCTGTAGAGAACATGCTGGTACAAATTTCTTTTGGATGATAAATACACTTTGGATTTGGATGATATGGTACAACACTTAGCCAGAGCAAGTCATTCCATAACGTAATTATGTATTCAGCATCCTCACAATGGAATTGTGTTCATGGCACACCCCGGAGTATCAGGTCATCGTCGAGCGCTTTACATTGTATAGTCTCATACATAAATTCTCTAAAAAGTTGAGATCACAGCTGGCTTTTAATTCCAGCTCCAAAATTGGCTTGCAGCGCAAGTGAAGCAGAAAACGAATATTCGAGGTCTGTATTTTCAAGTCAACCCTCTAAATTGCCGGCTGAACAAGATTCAGCTGAAGAGGAAGCGCCACCTGTTCTGGAAGCCGAGGGTCCAAGCGAAGTACGTTACCTTCAAATTCTTTCTAGAGTAGTATTGTATTATGCTGTTTGAAAACGAACTGCGAACACGACTATGTTTTTGCGTGACATATCAGCTCAGAAAAGCTTTATTCATCGAAATAAAATCCATTAGAATCTATACATTTTTGCCAGCAGAAAATGAGTTTATTCATACTGCTTGCATAAAATTGTGGACTTCCTAAGGTAATGAAGTTTGTTAAAGCAGTTGTGACCTCAGTTTGGTTTCTCAAGCACTTTTTAAACGTAGAAGGTAGACTTGCCTAAAATGGTGAATGCAATGTTCTGTAGTCCAGCTCGTTCATTTTCTGCTGCAACTAACCACACTTTGTTGTTGAAAACTGTTGCTTCGTTTCTGCTAACTAATGCTGAGCGCGGCCGTTTAAATTTGTGGCGAATTTCTAGGATTTGCTGAATTGAACTCGGGAAGTTGTGATAGGTTGAACCAGCAGCAAAGTAAGTGGTCACCTTGACCTTGGTGCAATTTCCCTTTCGGGAAGTACTGTAGAGTTTCTTCACGGTGTAACCGCTGTGGCAATCGTCGCCAGATACCATAGAGGATCCATTTCTCGCTGAACATTTTATATTTTAATTCGATCAAGAAACGGGTTATCCTCAAATTCAAAGCGCAAGGTACCAGTGGTGCCTGAAAACGACGATTTCCTTGATTCTGACAAAACTCGTATGGCGTTCATTTTTCGAACTTCTTCGAGTTCCTTATTTCCTTTAGAAGCTCTGAGACAGCTGAATGCTTGCATTGAGTTTTTCTGTATACTCTCGAATAGTTTCTCCTGTACTTGTTTCCACTAATGCGTTCAATTCATCATCGTCAACCGCAGAAGGACGTCCGCAACCTCCCTCGTCTTCAAGGTGGAGTTCGCCACGACGAAGGTTTTCAAGCCAACGTCGTAAAATACACTTCTTTATCCCCAAATCCCACTGGTGTTTCGAGCTGTTTGTGCTGAGCTGCATCTGAATTTGAATTCGTAAATTTGTCGAAATCACTGCTTTGACATCTCTGATTGCAACCTTTAAGGGTTTCCCAAAGCACAATTAATACCATAGTTTAACTATAGGGACGAAAATGCATAGAATGAGGACTGCGTTAATGTATAATAGCACAGCTTGTATTTTTTTTACCGAGGTTAAAGGAAAGTCGGTTTTTGAAATATAATAAGACAACATTCGGAAGAAATGCTAAATCGAAGGATAGTGAAATTAGAAGTCCGACATTCGTTTCAGAACAACCTAATATGTCTTTTAAAGTCTGTTCCTTCCACTCGATGTGTAGATGTTAATGGGGAAGATATTCATGATTTTGATGCCGAACAGCTGTCTGAGCTAGATTTGATGCTTCATACCGGACAGCTTTCACTTGGAGATCTCGTGATCACATCAGTTTGTGGTGTAAGTTATTGACATGTTATTGAGATAAGATATTGAGCATTTGCGGAAATTGGGGAATCTAGGAAGACGTTGAGTACCGAATTGCTGCTGGCACTCGTCATGGATCGCAAATAATTCTCGAAAAGAGCAAACCTTCCTGCACTTTGGAAGATGAAGGTATGATGTTTATCGAGTGACCACGATGTCATCACAGAATTTACAAATGATTTCTTATGTCATGAATAGAATTACAAAGCGGTCATCGTTTGAATACTGGTGAATATAACTTTTTATAGATATTATGCTCAATAAACCGGTGGTTCACAATGTCAGTGATGATATACCATCTTCAGTCAGTTCTTCTCAGAAAGTGGGTCCTTATCTCTTATTTGCCTAGTTTACATAACTTGTGCTATACTTCTTTTTAGGAAGTTCTTGACACGAATTCACTAAACCAGGAGACGCGTCAATTACAGGATGAATCGCGAAATAACGATGGTGTTTTAGAATACGTGGAAGCAGGAGACTCACCACAATACCTGAATCAGGAAGATGCTGAAGTTCAGTATGAATCTGACCAGCTTATGCACTATGAGATACATGATTCTGAGGGACATAATAGAAGACGGGTTGTCCGATTTTCTGATGATGGGCATCATTTGTTGGAATACTTGGACGATGAAAACTTCCAGTGTGATGGTTTTGTGGAATACGTTGATGATGAGAACGGGCATCAAATCATTGAGTTTATTGAAAATGGCACAGATATGGTACAATACTTAATTGCTGAAAATGTTAACGATAGCGAAGTTATTGCACTGCTAAAGTCTCAGACCCCAACTAACGCAGAAGATCCGGTCAGTAGTTCTAAATTGATGGTCAGCGATACACATAGGATTACAGGTAATAACTGTGTATAATGCTTTGGATTATGTTTTTGCGTTCCGATTCTTTCTTTTTTATACCACTACTCGGCACCGCAAAGTTTCTCTTCTGATGGCAACAATGTACCTGAAGACTTCACACACGAGGACATAGAGGTATATTCCGTCGACTTTTTAGCTGAAAGATCCTTTTGATTTTGCATGAAAAATTTTGCTGGTTAGCTCTTTTTTTGGTTTTGCATGGAAATTCATATTGGTATTTCTCTTTCGTGACAGATTACGTGTAATCCAATGCAATTTCTAAAGTACCATTTGCCACAGGGTGAGAATCTGATTTTACAAAATATTGGGCTATATTGCTACTTGTAAATTTTTGACTTGCCATACCATTAAGTGTTAAATCATCGTTTACAAACCATGCAGGACTTAATTATAGAATCAGTATGTCTCTAGAAGAAAGGTTTGTAAAAGAAGACTTATCTAATAGAACCTAGAGCATTGTTAAAGCTGCAATAGATAACAACGACACTACTTGGATACTCGGGTGGCCCATCTTCACTGGTTGTCCGAGCCTTAGTGTAATTTCCATTGTTTCGAAGTTTTGCTTGCTTAGCCATTGTGGATCTCTGGAGTCCCAAGGTGAGCTTGGCCAAAATCTGGCCTAGGTCGTCACCACCAGAGACAGTCGCTGTCCTTGTGGACGAGAGGGAGATTTGCCACCGTGCGACTTTGATACCAGGACGGTGGTGGATCCTGCTATTGGTTTAGTCTTAGCTGAGTTTCCTGATGGAATTATCGGATTCCTTCTTAACTTGAGTGACCCTGCCGGGGGTTGAATCCATTTGCTGGACATCGCAGCTCGACAGTCTGGAACACCTTCCCACTTGCGATGAGGCGGCGAACCGTTAGGATGAACAGCAACACTATCTTTAGAAGATGTTGAACCAAGCCATAATGACATTTTTTGATAAAATTGGTAAATTTATACCATATTAAAGCCAGTAGGTTTGCTTTTGTGATTTCTAGGTTGTTGGTGAAGATGTGGTAGTTTTTTCCATTGTTGTCTATCACATATCCTAAGTAATATTGAAGATTTGGAGCCTTAAGTCGTCTTATCAATGTACTTTCATCTCCGATGATTTACTATTTAAAAAGGAAACTAACTGGTGAATTTATGGAGAAGATTGAACATTGCAACAATTCATCTCTTACAAATGCATCGTAACGTTCGTATTCTATTCATAAAATACAGATAAGTTTCTGCCAGTGAGGTTACCGTAGCCATGAGCTACAAACAGATTTATGAAATGACGACTTTTATATTTTCCAAGTGTTTGCAGAACTTTAGCAGTGTGGTATAGCAAAATGGTGCATATCGCACCAAAGCAGAGGAATTGAAAAAGTAAGTACCTTTGAGTAATTCAAAGGAAGTGGTTAGCTGTTTCTAAGAAGTAGTTACACTTCCATTTTCGGGTATAGTTTTTTAAAGTAAATGGATTAGACAGATAGATCAGAACCAAGCTTTTTCTTTGTAACTCAGATTTAGCCTGAAATAAATTTTAGGATTTATGGAGTATTCTCTCGTCATTATGGCATAGAGGTCGTATTCTTTCAAGTTTGAATTATTCTTTTTTAACTGTTGTAAATTACATTATTTAAAATCTTTTTTGTCTGCGGGACTTAAAAAAAATTAACTAGTTAGTTAGAAAGTTGACCAGAAATTTGCAACCTACATAAGGTTTCTTTAAAGTCGAATATGATTTAGCTCGATAAACGGGATATCTACTATCACTTTTTGCTTCAGTTCTCCTATTCTTCACTGATGTATTGCTTTTGAAACAGAATAAGCCTTCTACAAGCAATTGGTGCTCTGCTTTGCTTAACCAGCTAATATTCATTGTTGGAGTGAATGGAATCGAATTTATCGCTTTCATTTTTACACGCAAGGTGTGACACTGACTTTCAACCAAACATTTTCCACTGCTGACCGTCGAGGCCACCTTGGGTTGGGCCAGTTTTGGTATGGAGACAGAGTCGAGCTCATCACAATCTTGCCAGTCAACAAAGTCAATATGTTGATTTCCCCGCTTTCTGTATTATATTCCAGTTGCACCATATTGCGCTAGTTTTTCCAGGAGAGGGGAAAACAGCACTTGGATTCGATTCTGGTTAAGCTGAGAATTATTCTCATTATGAGTGAGGACGAGGGCATGTCGATGTGTTAAAGCACTCATAACTACGCAGTAACCGATCAAAAGGAGATATTTCCTAATGGTGAAGTTACAGTTGAGTGCGTCAGCCAAGTTTTTCGTGGTCGATTCCCAGCCGATCTCAGAACTGAGTTCACGGACGAGTTTTAGATTCGATATGCAGGAGTTACGAGGTTGTTTCCAGTTTCACGAGAGCAAGAGCACGGTGTCTTCAACTGTTCTATGTGTATGTTTAGCGAGAGATTTTTAGAATATCACTACTTCAATTCGGCACCTGTCCACTTCGTTGCTTCTTAGTATCGTTGAGAAACCTGTTCTCTTTTGCCTTTGGAGAGGAAATGGGAACATAAGGTTTTCTAAAACGTGAGCAGATACAGCCGTTTGATGTTAGAAGAGATTTCCTTTGCGAAACCGACTTTCACTTAACCTCGGCGTAAATAATCAATGTTTCTTTAAGTTGTTCATCTTGCATGGGGTTGTTATCAAACTACGGACAATTGACTTAGATAACTCCTGTTGTGAAGGAGGGAAAGACGTCGAAACGTTAGCCGAATAGAAGCTTGATAAGAACCTCTTGTAAGCTGGACAATCTAAAGAAATATTCTGTAAAGCAAGTTTTAATACTGCGCAATGCTTCTCTCCCTTCCCTGGTGTAATAGATTAGCGCCACTAAACCATGGTAACATCTCTAGTGGCTGGGGCAGGATTGCTACAAAGGAGATGATTTGGTTATAAAGAACTATAAGATTTCTGTTCACTTTGTCCTCTAGAATTCAAAATGTCTTTATTTTCATATCTCATCACAATTACCAAGTCATATTGGGATAACTTCGTTTTTCAGAAACGTGGTTGTTCATCTACAAGTTCTGGAGTTGAGCAGTTATGAAATCTTATTTGAGGTATACTCAGCACTATCTGTATCAATGCATGTCATTTGACTTCACTTTAGACTGAAGGACAATACGTTTAGTAATCGTACGTTCATGTGTTAGCGTATTAAACTGCATACAATTTCGAAGGCAATCGTAGCTGTTTGTTTCATCAGAAAACATGACGATTCTTCTATTCTACGAAGTCGAATTAAATTGCATTTGTATTTGAATGCACAGTTCTTTTCGTTCTGAAGAGAATCAGAAATGTGAAGAAGTTGTCACATTTGAAACAGTTCTCATGGCTAAGCATTTGCCTTCAAATTCTCCCGGAACTTTTTATTTTTATTTTTTGTTTTTTTTTTTGATATTTTCAAACTGCTGTGGTATTTGAGTGAGATCCTTCCATCACTGCCTTTCCATGGCTTGATATATGATGGTGAACAATCGAAAGCGTTGTGTATATGTTTTTAACATGTAAATTTGTTTGTTGTGTTATGGTTTATTGCGCGTTTTCTTTGTGAACTTCTTGAACTGTGTCATAATTTGGCGCGATATGTGAATAAAGATCCTAGTTTTGTAAGAGACCATTTAATGTTTTCTCCATAAGCGCTCAGATTAGACTTTGATTGGCACCAATCGGTGATCACCAGTTGTACACTGAAATAGGTATGGATGTTTGAGGTCGAAAAGATTTCAAAAATACTGCTGCGTTGAGTTTTAGGAAGTTTGTTTGGTTACAATTTTAGCACTGTTCTAGAGTAAGTATATTTTGGAACTGCAAAAGTATCTGTGGAAGGTTCGTAGAGATGTAATGAAAGTCGTTTCTTAAGAGTTTTTAGAAACGATGTCATAGCTTACCTATTTCTACCAATTCGATAAAATGTGCCGTAGCCGTCAGGACGCATAGCTGTCACGAAACCGTAGAAGCCTACTTCATCATCAGCCATGTAACCGGAGAAACTAAAGTGTTTTTAAGTTGAAGTATGTAATGAATGTTATCACAAGAACTAGGAAGAGCTTTAAGCGAGCAGAAACAATTTAAGTGTAGCCAAGTTTATAACCTTCGCAACTACCGAAGAAACCACTAATTGCAAGTTACCGGCAAAAGTGGCTAAAGTAAAGATACTCCTAGCAAGGAATGTCAAAGAGAAAGATACCTTGTGGAAAGGAGGTAGTTCCCGTCACCGCCAGAGACTTTCCAAGCCTCGTCAGTGAAAATTTCCGGTGTCTCGATGTTTAAGGATCCTCTAATTCGGAAATTCTCCAAAGTTTTTCGAAGACCGTACAAATGTCGGTCGATGCCTTAAGGAAGACAAGGTCACAGTTTTAATAATTATCGAAAAATATGTATAAATAATGAAAGAGACATTGGTTTATATCTATAAAGAAGAGATCCGTAAATCATCTGTGCAAAGTTGGGATATTTTAGTGGTACTTTCACTGTGAACCGTACAGCAAGTCAGATGGTAATTCGCTTCTTTTCTTCGTAGGTAAGCTAGATGTTGGTTTGTTCTTAGTGTGTATTTAATGTTTTATGAATGATGAACGAAGCTAACGACTCTTTAGGATTACTAAAGTTTGTTATAAATATCTGATATGAAGTTCATATTCAAAGAAGACCGTGAAATTCTAGGTGTCTCCCTTAAGTCTTTACTGGTCGGATATTTGAATACGTCTAGCAATAAGTTGCCCGAAATATTAAAGTAGACATTGAATAATGCCTTATTTATGTTTTCGTAGATCAGTTGAATTTTGCCGATAAACGTACATTTGAGACATTTGGAGATACAATATGTTGTCGTAACCAAAGTGTGGTGATAATGACATTAGTTATCATTCCTTTGAGGCTCGTGTACCGCAGTGGTCGAAGGCGCCTCGCAGTACACACAGCATCGATCCCAGCGCCCCAGGATCGCCAAGCCTTTCATCCACCCAGGGTCGGCAAATTAGTCTAGGAGGATAGCAGCGCTGGTTCGATATCTCGGTAAGCCACCGAGTTGTTGTGAAGGCAGATTTTCATTCACTCGCCTCCAACGATGCTTAACGAAGTCGAATGCATGGCTCACCCTAAGGGATTGATTAACACCGAGAGCTTTGTCATTTATACTTTTTATTATTCCTTTCATTTTTAACGACTTCACTTCACACCTCTTCCATCCATGCAGTCGTCCATAAGTTTGTTGTGTGCTTCGTATGCTGCAAAAAACAGCTGTTGCTGCTCTTCTTTCTAAACAAACAAGAGTTAAAGAAAAGTTTCTCGCATTTCTGTATTCACTTGCAATACTTCATGTGGTATCAGGCATAGTTACTACAATCAGTAGCTCAATATTATAATATTCGTAGGAATTGTAATTTCCTATCCTATTAAGGCTTAATTTAGATATCAGCGCTATTATGTTTGATGTAACGTAATATGATGAAAGGATTCTAGGATGTGAACGAGAAGCGAGCAATTTTTTCGATGTAGATGTACTGTGAAGATCAACTTCTTGGTGCTGCTTGTTCGATCTTGGCTTATCACTTGTTATACTCAGACTCGTTTTCTCGTTGGTGTATCTGTATTCTGAAGACCATTTACTGCCAAAAATTTATGTACCACAGACGTCGATCCATATTAGAGCCGATACGTTCTTGACTTCAAAAATAGATTCAGGTTTAAGTTCTAGTTTAGTGCGGGTAAGGTTAGAAATTGGTCCACAGAGGTAAGATTTTGTAAATTGGCGTCTTAAGAAGGATAGTATGCTTGAAAGCTAGCCTCATCTCGAGGAGGATGGATATAGCTACCCAACAGTAATATCTTTCTATATCCGACATACTAAGTCTCTAGTGAAGAACCATACAACACCGCATACGATTAATACCCGAGATCTACAGGACCTGCACTCCGTTCTGCTTAACACCGTGGTTTGGCTTCTCGAACGCTAACAGTTGTAATGCAAAGTTCCAAACCAATGTGAAGCCAAAAGGACCATATTGGACAAGAAAGGAGACCTACCCGCCATCGGCAGTTATCACCCGATCTGCCTGGTGTCCGTTGTCAACAAACTTTTCACTCACTCATGTGATCGTCTACAGGATTTTCAGGAAATTTGGAGGATGAAGCCCATATTTGCAGTCTGGGCTTCGAAAAGGATTCAGTGTCACGTATGAAGTCAACACTACAGCAAAATTCACTGGAATAACGCAAGAATACAATATGCGATTTCATTCTAATGCATTGATTTCGAACACTTAGTTGCAATTCATATACAATTTTTCAGAAGGAAAAGGTCTCTGAGCAGTGGACGACCTCGCACATGGTCGGTTTGATCAGTAGAGTGAAGAAACGATTTCCACAACAGCAGCTCACTTGGTATTTAATTTTATTCCACAAGTTCTTCATAAAGACTACAGAGATTCCACCTTTTGGATCACATCCAAACTGCAGACAAGGTTATAGAAGTCTGCTGCGAATACCATCTCCCATTTGTGTTAATTTTTGTTGGCTGCGAAACGGCGTCGAAATAATTGCTATTCTATCCAACGCTCCGTGGCGAAGTACCTGTTCTACATAGCAACGCTATCGGGATTTTTATTTCATTCATACCACCAAAACATAATCCCAGCTGAAAGTGATTCATTGGTCACGGAATGGGATTCATGGGACAGATCACGAGATACTACGCGTAGAGCAGGCCACCCTCATCAACGACCTTCAACAAAAAGAAAGAACTCCTGCAGATCGACCTTTAAGTGTCCAAGTAATATTGACATTCATTGCTGTCATATAATAGTACGGTAGCACTAATGATTTTCTTACGCTCTGTCCATCGATAATCGCCTGGCCGAATGCTACCATTTCGTGCGTGCATCCTCGTACTGTTTCTGTTCGTCCGTGATAGAACTTTCTCGTGGAAGCAGTTTCGTAGATAGGTGCGAAACTAAATTACGAAAGTAGGTCTTTTGTCGCATTAAGACGATTTTCTGTCTTAATGACAATACGTCCCTTACAAGTCGGAAATGTTTTGCTGGAGCATCTCTTAATAACTCGAAAGACCGACTTTCTATGAACCTCGGCATAGATAGTTGATATATTTATTTATGTGGTCTTATAAACTGATCTTCTTAAGCTGACACGAGGTTGGTACCAAATCACACGCCAATCATTATTGCACATAACAGTGACGACAAAAGATGACAGATATTCGGCTCGGACATTCGAACGAGCCCACCGCTGTAGATGACAACAGCTAGATAGCAAAGCGGATAGAGGTACTGCTGTCCACACGACATCCTATGCATGGGCTATATGTGTTTCCATAGTAAGTGAGACACTTAGCCATATTCGAACCCCATTCATTAACTTAGAGAGCAGCTGAATGTAAGTTTAGCCTGGCTTAAATATAAGAGCCAACGCGGTATTCTTCAGGAGTGAGTCTACTAAATACTGGTCCATAAATGCTACAGTAGTTGAGGTTTCATTTGTCTAAAAAGGGTTGAAGCCGGCTAACTAATATCCATGCATTCGCTGACGATACTCCTGTGTATTCGTCGATATATGATCACTTTTGTCATCATTCATGACCAAGTGACTTAGAGGAATAGTGAAACAAAGGTTTCTGTTCATACCTGTGGCAAGTCAACAGTGTCGGGCTTGATTTATCTAAAGGGAATAGTCACACTTTTCATTTCAAGATCAACGTTTTTACTCTTTTGGTGGTAACACCTGGTAGAATTTGGTTGTCGCGAGACTGTTAAAGGCATTCGTATACTCCCTGTCTCTTCATAGAACGCTTTTGGTTGGATGCAAGTTATACTTTAAGTGCAAGAAGACACTTCCTTGCAAATACCCTTGAACATTATGATTTGAATATGGAAGGTTAGACTCGTAAGTCAAAGAGCTCGTTTCTTAAATGAAAATGCTTCTCAAAGCAATTATTTGATAACAAGTTCGTGTTCGTGTTTTACCCCTTATACGCAACCTTGGGATGAGTCCTTAACTCTGGTAAACATTCACCTCTAAAATTTCCAAACAGTCCTTCATTTCCGTCATAATATCACCTTTAATCTTATACGAAAGGGGTCGTTGTATGCATGATGAAATGACCATGAACCATATCTATTTCTCTCGCTATAGACATTTCGTGACCGAAACCGAAATTATAGTTCTCCTTATCATCACTTCATTCATTATTGAGTTTAAAATTGTGTAGAATATAGTCTCACCTGCCGTGAGTTCTCAAAAATGCCAATTGCAGTGCAATTTGCACCACCGTGTCCATATAGAGATTTAACTTCCGCGCCAAGTCATTGCCGTAGCCTTCAAACCTAACCAAATTCACCCGGAACGATTGTTTCTGACATTAAATGGTTACATTACTTTTATTTAATAGGCGACAAAAGCAAAGTTCACCAATATACTGAAGTTCCTTTCAGCGGTCTCAATTGCATCACATTCACGTGGACCGAGATCAAACTCAAGCAATTTTGGCGCGCCAAAAATCACGTTCTGGAATATGTAGAACGTAGCCGACTTCCACTATTATTCATTAAACTGTAAGCGGTAAATGTAGCACTTGTTCGTCTTATGGAAATGCTGTTTCTCAGCTTAAAGATGATCGAATGGTTTTTTTTAATTTTTAGGAATAAACTAAGTAATCATGTCCGGATGCACATTATGGTTTATTTATAAACACATCTGACTACCTTTTAATATAATATTTAACAGCGGAGTGTGTCAAAAATATATTCACCTGCGCCTGCCAAATGGTTTTCCTGGAGCGATGAGTAATATCATCAATAGAATGCATCATTACAATTGCGTCGACATTGCTATGCTGAATAAAGGATTTCTTACAGATGTGTGAGCACGAGGTATAAAGGATAAAGCTCTCGGCGTTATTCAACCTCTGAGAGATGTGCTATGCATTCGACTTCATTAAATCGTTTGGAGGTGATTGAATGCATATCTGGCCTTTACAATGACTCCGGTGGCCTGTATATCGAACCAGTGCTATTGTCCTCCCAGACAAGTTTGATACCAATTTGTCGACCCCGGAGGGATGGAAGGCTTAGTGCGCCATGGGCACGGGGATCGATTCCACGTGTGTGTCGCAGTGGCGCCTTCAACCACTGCGCTACATGCGACCTATACGTGAGCATACTTGTAAATATCTAAGCTTCCGTTTTCTTAGAAGTTATGATTCGAATTATGATTGTATCTGGATTAAAAATCAGTACAATGAAGATGAGAAAACAAGAAAAAAAGCCTACATCGCCTTGCAGAAGAACCTGACCGTCCTTGCACACGATTATGTTCCAAGATTTGTCTGCCCACTGCATTCGAGCTTCTCCCATCAATGCAGCATGAAGTTGCTAAAGCGTTTACCGTTTCTTTTAAGAAATCTGATAAAATTCCCGGCTTTTGTTGTGTGTACAGAAACCTTATGGCATCGAAGTTATCATCGTTCACTTTTTCATCTGGTGTTTCAATGAACGTGGTGGAACTTGGAATAGTTATTATTCACTATGTTAAAGCGGTAACAAACTCTATAGGTACTTACCGCAGGCTTGGTTTCATAGACATTATCAGTGAGCGTAAGGCAGAAACAGGATTTTTCGATCGTTTGAATATTTTTCATATTCCTTTCAGAAATAGACATGATCAATGCACGCAGCTGAAAGGCGGAAAGATGCAACTTTAATACTTTCGGCCTCCGGAAACTTTATAGCTCGAGTTTTGCTCACTTTTGCCCAAGTATCTCTGTGCTCTGTTGTAAGCGACGCTACACAATGTATCTTCTCCATAGAATGCTTGTCGATATAGGAAAGCACCTAAAAAGTTTCAGACAAGTCAACATTAATGCTATATTCTTTTGAAAACAAATCTTCATTTAACCTCGACATGAACAACCAGTATTTTTAATATATATATGGGCGCACACTGGGTTATTACAAAACCTTATTGTGCCTAACGTTTCGACATCATAGGCGTTTTCGGAGCAACAATGATTCAAAGCGACTAAGCATCGCTCGAATCCTGTTCTATTCTATATGTTCCTACGACCTGATTTTGTGGAGGCTGATGCCAGGTTGGTATAGTTGCCGTTGTTGCTGCTGTTGGTCGACAGTCGACGCTTCTGCAATTTCGCCTTCGTCAGAACCGTACTGTTACGAGCGGGACTCATAACACTTTTGTTGTTCCACTCGTAACAGCACGTCTCTGAGGAAAGCGAAATTGAAAAATTCAAACGTCACCGTTTTGCTATTTGCAGCCATACTTGTCCTTTTCATAGTTCTCCTACCACAAGGATTTCTTTTTCGATAATAACTCCATTTCTCTTAGTTGATCGCGCAGCCAGCATTTGCACTTGTATGCTTCGAGAACTAGTCTCGTTTCTTAAGAAAAGTGCGAGTTCATGCACATCTTATATTTAATTATTATGTTCCTAAGTTTTTTGTCTCTCGGAATAATGAAGGTATACTCATGCCATGCTGTTCCCAATTCCTTGCCAAACGCTATTACCTGTTTTTTATGAAACGGGAACCACTCTGTTACCGTGGAAGGGGACCTGCTCCAAGATGGCATCAATTCATAGAATAGAATAGCTCCTACATAGTTTTCTATCTGTCTTACTAGTTCGATTAACCTTATGAGTGATGATTGTGTAATTCAAACATAAATTAACGTGTTCATGGTGGCTAACAAGTTAATGAACATCCAGTTTTCTCGTGTCCATGGGTTTTTAATAGACATTTGTGAGTTCCACCGGTTTAATAAATGTGATCTTGGTGAGTTAGGATTCGTTAATTCAATCGATTGAGCTCAGATTGTTGAACAAAGAAAACATGAGGGAAAGGCACATGCATAAAGCCATCGTTGGTTTTGCGGAGCTCAAAGAAACTGCGAGCTCAGCCACGATTTAAACACGCCCACTGCTGGTTTTTCTAAAATAAACAGCAGATTTCCGACAGCTAGAGGACTTGTGGGATTGAGAACATCATGATGTTAAAATGGGCTTTGATCTATCCATTTAAAGGTACAACGTTACTACTATATGCTAGATTTTACCACATTTCATCCGCCGAACACATTGCTGCCAGAATTATGGAGCGTTTCTCAACTTGTGCTGAATATATCGCAATATATTTCTTATATCCCACACAACGGCCATGGCCCACCGTGACAATCGAAAATGAATAAACTATAAATGGGTGAGATGCTAATTTTCTAATAATTCCTAGTGCTTTTCGTTATCCGGAGGATTGATGAAGTTTAAACCTGATGGAGTTGTATATGAGATCTTGCCCTAACTGTTTAAAGAAGTGATGCCATTGCTAAGATGAAACTTTAATTTCAAGGTTATTAAAAGTTAATAATGTTAATGAGTCATTGGAGATTTCTCATTGTCAGAGGAATCAGAGTCATTGTCAATGATGAACGTTTTAGAAGATCTGAAGGTATACAGGGCTATCCGTTGTGAGGTTATTGGCCTTCTATACTTCTTTCGCCACTTTTTTCTTTTTATTTCCTTTCGCTCTTTCATTTCCGCCTCTTTCTTGACATTAACGAGTTTATTGCTTATAGTGTATTTTTTCATCGTTCTGAATTAGCTCTGATGACCAAGAATTTAATAATATAAGCTTGAGCTATTCATGCCTATGACGACTTCGGGCTTCATCGATTTCCCACCTATAGTTACAATGAGGAAACTGGGGATTTGAAGTGTAGGTGCACGGAACCGATAGTGGTCCATGATTTCTTTATGACTGACATTTGGAAGCTGGTCGTGAACGAAGTTAAGTAATAACCAGTTGGTAGCGCAACAGAGTAGAAATGAGGTTATGGCGTTGGAATGGAAAGAAAAGAAGAAGGAGAATATTGTTCTGTCCACAGTTCACGACGGATCTCTTTTCTCTAACTGATCAAAACCACAATTAGATGGCAGGATACTGTCAATTTTTTAAACGAATATCCTCCACTTGATCACTGATCCTCCCAACGGTTTACTGCCTCATCGTGGATGGGAGGTGTTCCTGGGTGTCGGACAGCGATGTACAGCGGGGGACTCGTCCGCCCGGCAGGGTCTCCCAAGCTGAGAAGGAGTCCGGCGTTTCCATCGGGAAGCCTAGCTAGGAATAAACCAATACCAGGGTCCACCATCGCTCTGGCATCAAAGTCGCATGGTGGCAAATCGCCCTCTGATCCACAAGAGCTGCGACTGCCTGTCGTAGTGACGGCCTAAGGCAGACTTTGGCCAGGCAGTCCTCGGGATTCCAAAGAACCACAATGGCTTAACTAGCAAATTCCCAAAAAATGGTGATTATGTTGGAACCCGCACAAATAGTGAGGACGGGTCGTTCAAGTATCAAGTAAGTAAGATCACTGAGACGTGCCGAGCGAACGCATAGAGGATATACAGGGAACGCTTGCAGGAAACTTTATCACTAAGTGACTTGAAGATGGAGGTCTGTTTGTGTTGTGATGCTTGCCGGTTGATTGCTTCAACATCGTCGACTGCTCATTTCGTTGAAGTAAACGCCACCAAGGATTTGGGGAAGTGGAGGGAATATGTGGGATGTCAGAAGGCTATTTTTTATACGACCCGCCTTCACATCTACTATGATACTATGCGGATCCTAGCATTTCTCACATTCGATTCGTTTATTCGCATCCATTGTCCACTAAGCTCTTTCAACTTTTACGTGTGGCTGCGGCTATTGCATGACGATTTTCATTTCATCTTGAATTTAGAAGAATGCTGGTCGAATCGATTCCTATTGGAATATTGAGATAGCCGAGCTAAAGTATTCTCATTTGGGTTGCAGAGAGTGATTTCTTTCCCAGACAAGTCCAATAACAATCTCCCGACCCCGAAGGAATGAGAGACTTGGTGAGTTCGGAGCAGGATCAAGTCAGCACCGAGGTCGTGATAACCGGCATCACTACCACTATGGCATCCGCCGCCTTATAAGATTGTTACAAAAATTAACCACAATGAATACGCTGCTGTACGTGCTCGAAAGGTTAGCAACTAGATGCAGCCGTTGCAGGGTACATTGTTGTTTAGAATGCTTCAATTGGCGATTAGATATACAATTTATATACAACCGGCATGACCTTCTATGTTAAGATCATTTATTGTTGGCCAAAAACTGGGAGCTTTAAGTGGAGAGCTTAGTTGCTTCCGGGTACATAGTAATGATCTCTGAACAACCTCTTTCGATTTTATTTGTAGGAAAGAGTCGCAAGACATTGTTGTTATTGTTGTGAAGTTATACTGCATACTGTAAATTGTTGTTGTAAAGTAAATGCAAAAAGAAAAGTTGATAAGACTTGGCAAACGTTTCAAAAGAAAAACTGCGTTGAATTCCACTGATGAGGCTTTACTCTCCTGAACGCTGACCTACTCTGAGAAAGGCTCCTCGAGGGTATTATCATTATTTTATCCTAGCGAAAAGCTTTTCATAAGCGTCGAATCGTAATGTTCAAGTACAGACATTTGCCCTCCTATTCATTGGCCACGCTATCTGAGTTGCGCACTTTCCCCCAACATCAATAGTCTCCAGCCGCAAAAAGATCTCGTCCCAGAGGGGGTTTTCATAGATTATTAATTGTGAAAGATAGCTTTTACGAAAAATACCTAAGATTAGATCTATGTTTGACAAGTTAACGAAAGAATGCAAAAAGTGGGTGAAAAATATCACGCGGTCTTTTATGTGTTAAAACGTGCTGTGTCATTTATAAGTCATTCTGAATTCTATCACTAGATTTACATTATAAAAACAACCAATTTCGAGTAATAGATTCTGTTTCCTTGTTTACATCGTAACGAAAGATCGATCATTTTCACAGTTTGAGAAACTTGCTTTCGCTGTGAAATTTGTATCACCATCGATGTAATACATGTCGACATGTAACCAAGATGCCCGAGTGAAGCCTCATCCGCATAATGGTAAGAGATAACATTTGTGATAGATGAAACAAGTTTCATTACTTAAATGGATTGATTTTATAAAAAATTATGTGGTGTCCAATACGTTTTCTGTTATGCCATAATTCCAACGACGTTCCAAACGGTTTACCGCCTCATCGTGGCTGGGAGGTAATCCTAGGCGTCGGAATGCGATGTACAGTGGGTGGATTCGTCCCCGCGGCAGGGTCTCCCAAGCTGCGAAGGAGTCCGGCGTTTCCATCAGGAAGCCTAGCTAAGAGTGAACCAATACCAGGATCCACCACCGTCCTGGTATAAAGGCCGCATGGTGGCAAATCTTCTTCTGATCTACAAGGGCTGCGACTGCCTGTGGTGGTAAAGACCTGGGGTAGACTTTGGCCAGACTGACCTCGGGATTCTAGGGAACCAAAATGGCTTAACCGCTAAATGCCCGAAAAATGGTGATTATGCTGGGGTCCGCACAACCAGTGAGGACAGGCCGTTCAAGTATCACGTACCAAGCAATTCCAACAATTCTGGGAAAACTTTACCGGAAGGCGAAGGTTATTATCATAAAGGCAGTCGCCGGTTATTGTAGATCGGAGGAGGCGCTTCACAAGTAAGCTTGATACCCGCAAGGCCTATCAAAGGGTAAGCCTATCAATGAAAGAATACGTGCTAATAAAAGATTAAGGCCATATCTATAGATGACGCCTCCGATATAAGCAAATGAATGGATAAAGTGCTGAGAGTAGCTCGACATGTGAAAATTGGTTACCTAAGTATTTTTTAACTATTAAGTATTAATGCCATCTGCATTTATACCAAAGAGCGGGCAATGCAGTGGGATTGATCTCGTTCATTACGTGGACGGCTCGACAAAGGCCAGAACTGGTTCGACTCCGCTTAGAACTTACCAAGCCTCTCATCACTCCGGGATCAGAAAAATGGAGCGAGACCTGTCTGGGACAACCTCACTCCATCTAAGCCACGTCGGAACACCCTAACACGGCTATCTTGAAACTCCAAGAAAAATCGACCTCACCAGCATGCAACGACATTAGTGATGACGATGAAAGAATCCTCAAGCAGCCATGGCTAAAAAAAGGTCGGAGGCCTTCGTGGATGTGGGATGCGACGAAACAAATCCAATTATAGAAGTGCTGGGGCCCGTGTAGTAGAGTGCGTGCAATTTCACGTTAATTTATAATCATAACGAAAAAATACTTCTATCACTGATATCACCACTAACAGGGAGAAGAATGGGTAGCTCAGTGTAGTGATGCGATTATCAAGAGCAAGGTACTAGCTCGATCTTGCTTCGGGGTCGGGAAATTGGTATCTTACTTGTCTGGGAGAAGTTCACTTCCTAAAATCAAAATGGGAACGCTCCAGCTCTCCTATCTCAGGACTCCAGGGAGAATCGGCTTAGCTAGGCATTCAACGACGTGGAATATCCTCAAACCGCAGCGGAAGTTACACGTAGAAGGTAGAAGACCTTTGTGCATGATGGATGCGAAAAAACGAATTGAAGGTGAAAATTGCTGGAAACCGCATAGTGGATGCGAAAGATGGTGGCTTAAAAAACTTCGTTTGCGCTCCTCATCTATGTAATTATGTTTACAAAAGAAAACGTGTCACATTCTTATCGCCTTTTCATATTTTAATAATTTCAAGCGAAATGAGTCGGTGAACGTATTGTCACAATTCCTCAATGAGCGACGATGTGACAAAGATCTATCAATTTCATTAGACTTACGTGGTGAAGTTCATCGGGAGTTAGAATCTGACCGTTTTTCATCATTTCCACACACCATATATTTCCACGACATAATACTGTTATGTGTGACGGACAGGCACCTTCTGCTTCTAAATATTTCGACAATCGAAGAAATCGCAGTATAAACCGTTTTATTTACTGCCTACTCGTTTTAATGGCAGGGTATATTGCGAAATATAACTTCAGTGATGCTGAGATAATTGCAAAACTCCAGACCGCAGGTGTCTACGGTAAAGAACGAACGCGTTATTGTCCTTTCCGGGGCGTAACGTGTTCACCACCGCACCACGCGGGTCCTTCGTTTCGCCTGTCTCTCAGCTAGTTCTATCGATCTCTGCCAAGGCAACCGGAATATTTGCAAATATCTCAGCACCATTTGAAATCGCAATAATCGAAAACTCAACAGCATTCGCTTAATTTACTCAATATATAAAAAATAACAGTTGCGGAAAAATATGATGGTGGGGTGTCGACTGGATTTAGCTTCTTTTCAGATCCAATGCGGCCACACAATACCGGGTGTCTGAGACACTCAGTGTAAGTTAGTAGTATTCTAATTGCAGTTTAAATAATTCTGTGATTATTAAAACGGCTTAATGATTGAAAAACACCATTCCACCAATAACCAAACCAAGTCCTGAAGAGAGTTTCAAAAAACACGGAATGAAGTTGAAAGTTAGGAAAGGGTTTTATTGATATTACACTTCCAAAATAGCACTATTCGGACTAATCGCTCAATAACAAAGAAAAGCAATGCTCAGACTGCGGTAAGGAGGAAAAACCATTTTTATGCCGGTTTTAACATAACCTCGACGTGAACAATCAACATAATTTTCTGGATCAAGTTCAGCTTACACGAGACTATTGTAAAATTTTTGTTCTACTGACGTTTCGGCGCTTTCGTTTTCATCTCAACAGCGAAAGACTGTAGACAATCGACTTCAATCATTGCAGCTCTGAAGAAAGCGAAGGTGCCGAAACGAACGTTACTCGAACGAAAATTGTATAATAACTTTATGTAAGCTCAGCTATCTAAATAACGTACAAGAATCTTATCGGAGAGTAGAGTCATCGTTAATGTGGATTGGTGGAGAGTGATTTTTTGTCAGTTTACATCCATTTTGCTCAATCATTGGGTTGCCTTTCAAAATAACATGCTTGTCGAAAACAGTACATAGGAAAAAACCACAAAAAAGCCGCACACGAAGAAGCATCCTTTAGCAAAACTACGAACTGTTAGTCGACACTGGGAAAACCTTGGTTAGACACACCATAGTGGGGTCAAGTGTTTCAGCGTTTCTCCAAGCAAACACCGAATACTTGGTATATTTAGGACATCGCACTAATTTTTAAACTCGGCCGTCTTGCTTGGCTTTGCCTCCTGCGGAAGGACGCCTTGGAGATACATAGAAAAAGGTTCGCAGTTAACAGCTCTGTATTATGGGCTGAAGCTACATCCTAGGATATCGGTACTATCCGATGAAACAACATGATAATACATTTATTTATATTGTCTTATAAACTGATCTTCTTTAGCTGATGCGAGAGGTTAGTATAGGTCTTCTTTATCGTTGTCGTTGTTGTTGGTGTTGTTGTTGTTCGATGGCTGACGTTTCGGCGATTTCGCCTTCCTCAGAGCCGTGATGTTACGAGTGGGACTTATTATGATAATACCTAGTGAGAAGTAAATCCTCTAGCACTAAAGAGCTATACTAAGCAACGATGTCTACATGTGCATTCGTTGGAGTCTATAAGTGATGTTGGACCTTCGTTTCTTTTCTTATGTCGATTTTTGAAACAAATGTCATATTAAAAGCGAATTTATACGAAAGGTAATAAATAGTGTGCTAACCGGTTTTGAAATAACGATAAATTCGATCGATAGGGAATTCTGGTACACGAGTGGCGTTGAAAAGACAGTAATATTGATGCATATCCCAGAATCTCCCACGACTCCTAGTAATTGGCAAGGTGCCGCTGAAATCACTCTTATTGCAAATCTATCTCGTGAAGGACTGAACGCCAAAATTCCAACAGTTACAGTGAACAGGCTTTGAAACGAAGCTCGTAGTATTTCTCACTGCAAAATTTCTGCATAACTGACATGCTGAAGATTACTCACTTTCTTATCTTCTCCCAAAATCGCATGGAGTGAAAGACAACGTCCGCTGCACGGCAAATCTGTGATCCACTCAGTGGATACCAGTAAGAACTGGAGGACGCTATCGACAAATACGGTGTTAGAGGATCTCGAACCTCATTATACGAATCATACCACCATTCTTCGAGCTGAAACAGTCGCTATGAGCATTCCTTGCTGTAATCACATCCCCCGCTTTATAATTTACTGCCTAATTGTGGGCTAGTCTTCTGTCGAATTGGTTTCTACGATAGGCTATTCATTTCATCGCGTAAGGTTGGCTAAGGGATTTAAAATCTCAAGCGGACAGCCCAATGGAGAATAAATTAATGGCTTAAGGTGCTACCGTAGGAGCAAATTACACGTGTGATGTCCACATCTGCTTTGATAGATATTATTTTAAGAACACATAAGAAAGTAACATTGCGTGTTTTCTAAATGCTACAAAAGCTTTAAAATGCAAAACTTTTAAAATCCACTGCATATGAAAAGAGTGCGCTTAATGACATCAAATCTAGACCGGTTCAGACAATTTCGAGAAACGAATTTTAATTTCGGCATAGAACCTCTAGGAGGCCGTCCATGACAGAAAGCGAAGAAATGCCTGCATCACATGAAAGCGAATGACACTGAATGACTTTTCGTCCATTTCGTCGTAATTTCGTACAAAAGCGTGCCATCAAGTGACAGCCAGCTACACCGGAGGTGGTTATGAGTCGCCTCCAACAAATAAGCTCTTTGCCTACTCTGGGAGAGAGTGCCAAGATATTTGTGAGCATATTCAGCCCATACGACCAGAGTTCATAAAACAACATGTGGACATCAAATCCGAAACACTATGAGATAAGTGGGTCTTATTTTTTGACCCTTAAAAAGCTTCGAATTCAACAGCGTTAGATAGAACGAGTAAGGAAGGGCTGCTAAAGCTTCAGAATTTCGTCCAAAAGCGTGCCATCAAGTGACAGCCAGCTACACCGGAGGTGGTTAGGAGTCGCCTCCAACAAATAAGCTCTTTGCCGTACTAAGTTACCTATATCTCTAACTACTAAGACGGCAATCCGTACCTACAATATAAACTCCATTGCACCTGAGTGCTCTATGAACGACTTGATTATGCAGGTAGTAATTCTGAGATGCGTCGCTATCGGACGGGCGGAGGCGAGAAGGCGTCTCCCTTATAACGATACCTATAGTCTCAGAGAAGAACTGTTTCTAGAAGCATGCGACAACGGAGTCGTTCACTAACTGGGATAAAAATAAAGCTCTCGGCGTTGATCAATCCCTGAGGTATGCGCCATGCATTTGACTTCATTAAGTATTGTTTGGAGCTGATTAAATGCATATCTGGCCCTTGCAATGTCTCGTGGTGCCTAATGATATATCGAGACAGTGCTGCTATCCTCCCAAAAAAGTCTGGCAGCAATTTGCCCACCTCAGAGGGATGCCTCCTACCACCGCACCACACGCGCCCTCACGAACATGGATTCTTTCAGGAAAATGGCAACCTCAATCGGACTTTTACGACTGAAGAGGTGTGAGTCAATACAGGCCTTAACAGTCCTCGTATAAGAACCGACATTGTAACAAAGAAGAACTCGAAGCGTTCTATACGGATTTGGAGAAGCTCTACAGAGAAGATCACACATTCTTTCACATCGTCAGTGGAGATCTCAATTCTAGTACTGCATTCAGAAAAACATCCCAAGGTAAGCGGCTGCCTGAGCTTATCATAATTACGAAGACTATTCATGGTATCCCCGCTCTCAACGCTGGATGGGAGGAGTCTCCCAACGGAAAGCACCATAACGAAGAGAACCACATCATAGTGAATCAAATGTTTGCCCAACCAATGTCGTTGTTGTCCCAAAATTCTACACAGAATTAGAACATCGCCTACTTCGGGTAAGAGTTCATTTTTCGTGGAAATGAGAAAGGAATATAAAATTGGAAAAAGTCCCAAAACACCATAAGCTAGGATTTATTTAGTTCATTAGTTGGCCTCCATTCATAACGTGGAGAAGGAGTACGATTGGTTCATTTAACAAAATCACGTTAGCTCTATGAAAGGTAGGAACTCGAAAGTATCCAAGAGACGACTGCCTCTAGAAACATTCGAGCCGACACCCAGCATGGAATCGCACGAGCCACAGGAAACCGTAAATTTACGCTCCAACTTCCAAAGTGTGCAAATAGGTGATAAAAGAAGATCTTAAAGAGAGAAGGTAGCAGTAATCGTCGAAACTGCAGAGGCTGAGAAAAGCATTCGCAAAGCACATCGACTCCTCGCCTATTACAGGACCAAGATGATTGACTCCGACGCCCAAGGAAAATGGTTGCAGCACCCAGAAAGCCAATCAAGAAAATCATTCACGATTACTACTAGGATCTCTTCAAAAGCCCCGTCTTTCTGCATATTAAATAAACGAGAATGGATATGTCGTCCCACCGGTTCTCAATTCCGAAATCCGACATGTTGTTCGTTGGCTAAGAAACGAACAACACTAGGTCTGGAAGGGATATGATCTGAACATATGAAGAACGTTCCGCCGACACTCATCAACAAACTGACTGGCCTGTCCACACGCTATCTGTCACACTGCAATGCTCTTATTCAATGAAGACGAGAAAGTTCGTGCTGTTGCTGAAGAAGGCTGATCTTCACGATATCATCAACGAATGCTAAATCTTCTCGCCTTTTTCCGCTTATAAGGTCCTTATTCGATCCATTCTAAATAAAACTGAAAGAACCTTAGACAAAGGACGGCTATGTGATAAAGCGGGTTTTCGAAATAGATTCCTTATAATGGACCTTACGCACACTATAAAAAGACTCATTAAAGTCGTGAGAGTGCAAGAGACCGCTCTGTTTCACTTTCACTGATTTACGGAAAGCTCTTTGCTCATGATAGAAACAGTCATGCAAGCTCTGGATTGCGAGGGTGTACCTGTTCAGTACATAAAGGTTATTCGCGAGCAAGTTATAAATTTTATAATTACAAGATCACCATTGTACAACGATATTAAGATCGGCGTCAAAAAAGGGGTTACGCAAGGCGATACCAATTCGACAAAAATATTTACCGTCATCTCCGAAACGTCATACGAACGTTGGAATGAGACAATATGGGAGTAAAAACCGATGGTCGGCAGTTACACCATCTTCGCTTTGCTGTGGCATCGTTCTTATAACACCAAACACTAGCCAAACGGAACGAATGCTTGCCGACTTTGATACAGCCTGTAGAAAAATTGGTCTTCGACTAAATCTCACAAAAATGAAGAGCGGATTGGTTATGTATGCTCCTTTCACGCTCAACGGAACCGATGTCTCTGAATGTTCAAGCAACGTCTATCTAGGTCGGGAAGTCAACATCATGAATGACTTAGATCTATAATTAGCAGAAAGAAATGACTGGCTTGGGTGCTTCCACAACATGGAGGATATTGTGAGAAAAACGAAAAGCAGCCGACTCCTTACCCATTAATGTTATGCGTCAGACACCTGGTCGCTACATGAGCAGGATGACAGACCACTCAGCGTTATAGAACGTGCAGCAGAAAGGATGCGACTAAGAATATTCCTTGCCATGCTCTTGAGAGCTGACCAAAGCTCTGACCTACCTCAGCCGTCAAAAATCAAAGAGGCCGTTCTACACGTAAAATTATAGGAGATTGCGGACACGAGATGCGCATGAACACTAAGCGAGGGACACGAGCAGTTAACGACTGCATACCTCGGAATGTGAAATGCACGGCAATAAGGCAACCGAACCGATGGTTAGAGATTTTCACAACAAACCTAGAAGAAAGGTGCGGTGTTCAACGACTCCCTAGAACGAGCAGAACCAGCTGAGCTAGCGTTGGTCACGAGAGGGGAAAATACAAGATTTACTGCCATCCGCTCAAGTCATTCGACAATAAACGTGACGGCCAGTGATGGTTATTCTATTTCGCACGTCAGCCCGTTCAGCTCACAGGTGTAGTGCTCATAGGAAAGTGAGTTCTATAAAGAGTTTCAATCGGCGAAGTGGTCTGAAATGGATGCGATGCGTTAAAAATTTGTGAAAAATCACAACATTGCTTCCAAGAAGAAAGAGGGAAATGGTGAAGAAAATAAGAACAAAATAAGAATCCAAGAAAGAAAGGAAAATCGAAGAAAATCTATGATACCAAAGCAACTTCAAAAATGAGTAGGACGCTATTACTCCTTAATTTTATATATTTTTCTTCGAATACACCTTAACAAATACCCAGTTTCTCATCTCCTTGCTTCGTTTTACCAGAGCTTCTTGCAGTTGAACAGCTAATGTGCTATTTCGAAATTTTTCTACGGCTTCTGTCGTCTTTCTCTTTTGTTCGTCGTTCAGTAAAACAGTCGCTGAAAAAGTAGTGGAACAACGTGGTTGAATCAAAAATTTAAATACACATCGCTAATCTTGGCCCTGAACATCCGAAATTTGAATAATGAAAATCTTTTGGTCCATTTTTATTTCTAAGTTAGGAATTGTCATATTGTGTAATTCGACCGCTTCGATCCCTCTTTACAAAGTTCACATGAATCAAAACTCGAGATCTGGATAAAAGAAGGATAAAGAATAAAGCTTTCGGCGTTGATCAATCCCGTAGGGATGCTCCATGCATTCGACTTCACCAAACATCGTTTGGAGATGATTGAATGCATATCTGGCCTTTACAATGACTCGCAGTGGATTACCGATGTATTGACCCAGTCCTGCCATCCTCCCAGACGAGTCTGGTACCGATTTCCCCACTCCGGAGGGATGGGGGCTTGGTGGGTAAGGGACGCGGGAATCGATCCCTTGTGTATTGCAGGGCTCCTCCGTCCACTGCGTCCCCCTTCCCCGAAATCTAAATAGTCGAAGAAATGCTTCTCCTCTCACACCTACCTACTCTGAGGTATTGGATATTTTTTTGAGTGCCGGGAAGAATTAGAACAACAACAAAAGGCTCAAATAGAATAGATAACAAATCCTTATGTGCATAATGG